TTCATTTAACCCGCTGGCTGAATAAAAAAAAAAAAAAAAAAAAAAACGACTCATCTATGGGTTACCTTGGTTTTTCAGTGTTCAGGTGAGAACATTTTCAGCAAGTACAGAAAACACATGTTGATCTTGCCCAAAATGCAGTCTCCTTGTCACTTTCTGTGAGCTAAAAAGACAACAAAAATAATGTCATCTTCCTCCTGTAAACTACTAATCCCCCCCCCACCCCCCAATGAATGGCGAAGGGAGAGTGAAAGACATGTTTAATGGCCAGCCTGGGTGACAACCATGACACCCTCCACAGATACAGTAGCCACCCAGAGACAGGAAGAGTGTTTCTCTAGGATTTCCAGGTGAAAATAAAGAGACTGAAAAAAAGATACTAATGTAGCCACCACATCTATGGAATGATAAGCTGCAATAGATTACATTTTTGTTCTTGTGTTTAAATATGCATAACCTTTGGGCACAATAAGCGTTCCAGGGTTAAATTTGTTAATGTTCCTTTGCCTCTAAAAGCTACCTTCCACCATGTACATGTTCTTCTACATCTCACAAAGTCTTCTGGATTACATTCCAGGATTAGTAGAGCGCCCGCTGTACTTCCAGGCTCCTCGGAAAAGCGCTGCAGGTCTCTCAGACCCAAACACTGAGGCTGTATGGAGCGGTGTGTTTTGTGAATGGCCTGGAGGAAATGGAGGTGGCGATTAGAGATGAGCGAATTATTCAAAAATTCGATTCGGCTGATTCGCCGAATTTGCGGGAGAAATTCGATTCGATGCGAATTTATTCGCCGCAAATTTAACTTATTAAAAGGGTTTTTTCTAGGCTTCAGAGAGCCTTTATATTAGTGCAGAACACTGTACCTTTAATTTAAATGCCCTTGGAGTCTGCTGGGGAAGAGAAATAATACTGTCAGTCAGTATGACATGCAGATGAGTGCCGTCGATCTTAGAATCACCGCACACTTCACTCATTTGGGCATCACGGGGCACGACGACGAAGAAGAAGAAGAAGAAGAAAATGAAAAGAAGAAGGATAAAAGCAGAAGAAGGAAAAGCAGAAGAAGGAAAAAGCAGAAGAAGGAAAAGCAGAAGAAGGAAAAGCAGAAGAAGGAAAAGCAGAAGAAGGAAAAGCAGAAGAAGGAAAAGCTGAAAAGATCCTAGGAAAAGCAGAAGAAGGAAAAGCAGAAGAAGGAAAAGCAGAAGAAGGAAAAGCAGAAGAAGGAAAAGACGAAGAAGGAAAAGACGAAGAATGAAAAGACGAAGAAGAAGAATGAAAAGACGAAGAAGAATGAAAAGACGAAGAAGAATGAAAAGACGAAGAAGAAGAATGAAAAGACGAAGAAGAAGAATGAAAAAGAAGAATGAAAAGAAGAAGAAGGAAAAGAAGAAGAAGAAGAAGAAGAAGGAAAAGAAGAAGAAGAAGAATGAAAAGAAGAAGAAGAATGAAAAGAAGAAGAAGAAGAAGAATGAAAAGAAGAAGAAGAAGAAGAATGAAAAGAAGAAGAATGAAAAGAAGAAGAAGAAGAAGAAATGAAAAGAAAAAAGAATGAAAAGAAGAATGAAAAGAAGAAGAATGAAAAGAAGAAGAATGAAAAGAAGAAGAAGAATGAAAAGAAGAAGAATGAAAAGAAGAAGAAGAATGAAAAGAAGAATGAAAAGAAGAAGAAGAAGAAGAATGAAAAGAAGAATGAAAAGAAGAAGAAGAAGAAGAATAAAAAGAAGAAGAAGAAAAAAAGAATGAAAAGAAGAAGAAGAATGAAAAGAAGAAGAAGAAGAATGAAAATGAAAAGAAGAAGAAGAATGAAAAGAAGAAGAATGAAAAGAAGAAGAAGAAGAATGAAAAGAAACTAAGAAGAAGAAGAATGAAAAGAAGAAGAAGAGAAGAATGAAAAGAAGAAGAAGAAGAATGAAAAGAAGAAGAAGAAGAATGAAAAGAAGAAGAAGAAGAATGAAAAGAAGAATGAAAAGAAGAATGAAAAGAAGAATGAAAAAAGAAGAAGAACTAATGAAAAGAAGAAGAAGAATGAAAAGAAGAAGTATTCCAGTACAGCAAAAAGTGTATCTGCAGAGAGCTCCGCTATTTCTGACAGTTCTCTGACAGTTCCTTCACATTTACAGCGGTTGAAACATTGTATCTATTTATTTCCGAATAAAAACATCTGTATCCTAAATGGAAACAAATAGATACAATGTTTCAACCGCTGTAAATGAACTGTCAGAACTGTCAGAAATAGCGGAGCTCTCTGCAGTGACACTTTTGCCGGCTGATCGGGAAAAATTCGATTCGTGCACCCGAAGTTTGCTAAAATTCGGATTCGATGCGAATCAAATTTTTCCTGATATTCGAAACGAATTCCACTTCGCCAGGTTCGATTCGCTCATCTCTAGTGGCGATACGACCAAAGCACTGGGGAAACAGGACCTACAGCACTTAGATCCAGGCAGCCCGGTAGTACAGTGGAAGTTGAAACTAATTCCAGCATGTAAACAGGAAGATCTGCATTATGTAGAAGAATGTGTACACGCTGGGGGGCGGCTTTTGAGGCAAAGGAGTGTTAACAATTTTAACTCTGATACAAGCTTATTGTGCCCAGATTCGCTTTAAAACACAACTTCACCCAAAAGGGGAGGTTCCACTCTTCCTCCTCCTCTCACCCTCCTCTGCAACACGTGGAATAAATTTTTTTTTTGGAGGGGTGGGGACAGGTACCCCCTCCCACACCCGGAGAAATCACTGCGGCGGGTCCACCTAAGGTGGGTCCACCTCAGAGGTCTGATGAAAGAGCTGAATGCTCTGAAACGAGTCACCGCCCCCTTCCTGCGGCTCCACACTACGTCCTGATGTCACTTCCGCTCGGTGGCCATCTTGGTTGCGCTCCAGGCTGGTTCTTCCCTCCTACGGAACACAGCTCATGCTGGCTGGAGGCGAAACACACCGGCCAGGAGACCCGGCTCACACATGCACCGCGGGCCCCTGGACATCCACCCGCCCTCCTCACGCCTCCCATGGGAATGACCAAGGAGTACCAGCCAGTGCAATAGCTGTGGTCCCTGGAACTCCATCCATCCTGCTGATGAGATCACACCCGAATAACGGCCTCCCTATATATCATTGATGCACGATATATCTCTACCTCCTGTGAGTGTTTTTATTTTGTGTGCAATAAACTGACTTTTATACTACACTTAGTCTGGCGCACCTCTCTCTCCTCTAGTTTTTGTAGCCGCTATTAAATTTTTTCAAAAGTGACTGAAGCTTCTCTTTAAGCAGAACTCCAGCCACTTTTTTAAAGCTTTAAATAAAGCAGAGAAGGGTTAATTTATATTGCCATTTATATATGATACAACAGGATGTAAGAAAATCTCAGCAACAAAAGACACAGACCACAACAAAAACAGAGCACCATTCATCTGTAGTGACCATAAAGAAGTATGCAGCTTTTATCGAGGCTTCTCACACAGGAACCTTGTTTTATATCAGACTATAAAGCATAATTAAAGGCAAATATAATTACCTTCATTCTAATAGTTTGATGCCCATGAGATCACCTCTCCAGAGATCTTCTCCCGGCATCTTCTGGGTGCCAGGCTTTGGTCATCTTAATTGGCTGGCACGGGATGACGTCACTCCTGCACATGAGCAGGAATGCAGTCATCCCAGCACACAGGCAGTGTGCCTGATTCTGAACTAAGCTGTGCATGCTCAGGGGATTGTGAACAAGCAGGTAACTGCAATTTATTGCACACTATATGCAAACACAACTAAACCAGAATGTACCATTCTGGACAAGGAGACACTGTGTCAATAGTGAGGCAACACACTAAGATAAAAAAAATCTTCTTTTGTACTCACTAAAAAAAATATTTTCCTCTTTTGTTCATTGGAGGACACAGCTCTGCTTTATATAATCACCAACTGGCAACCCCTTCTGGTAGCCAAATCTCCGGTTGGTGGTATCTAAAGCAGAGCTGTGTCCTCCAATGAATAAAAGAGAAATATAAGCCCAAAGTTGAACGGCAGCTAAAAATATACTAATACATAAATAAATGACCTAAAAAAAAAAAAAAAAAAAAAAAAACAAAAAAAAAAAACACCACAGCTTTTTCTGCAATATTCTGCTTCAATCCAGAAATTCCCTCCTGCAGAACTTTTTTCTGCAGCTATATGTATCCAGTCTGATGGCTAGCATCATTCAACCATCTTCTTCTGAGCCCAGGTAAACCTCGACCTGCCTCCAGCATGTGAAAGGACAGTAAAATGAAAAAACAGCACAGCGATGAGCTAATCTCTCTGTCACCTTCTCCTATGAGCATGCTTCATATCAGCACATGCATTGATTGGCTCCTTGTGTTGCTTTGTCCTCTCACACATTTGCCCTGCTGTACAGAGAATGTAAGAGACTGATACCAGGTCACATTTGGGTACATACACTACTGGAATTTATTAAAAAAAAAAAAAAAAAAAAAAAAACACATTTAAATCTAAATTGCAGGAATTCAGTAACTTTGTAAAAAGAGAAGGTACTCAATGAGTTAAGACCAATGAGCTGCCTGCTAGCTTCCGGAGCCCAGACTCTGGACTCGGCTGGTCTCAGCCCCTTCAAGTGCAGAATCAGTGTAACTACTATGCATGTCCCTCCCTCCTCCTGCCCAGTTACAGAAGCCTTTGTATTGTGTGAACTCCTTCACAAAATGCAAAGGCTTCTGTCAATGGGCAGCAGAGGGGAGTGGCTACTCTGTGTGCTTTTCTCCTCTCACAGAGACTCCAATGTGGAGTGTATCCTCAGGCAGAGCCATACATCTGTCATAGAAATAATAGAGATAAGCCCACAATGTGACAGACAGCTATTAGGACTTAACCCATGGTATGCCTGAACCTTTTACAAAGTTGCTGAATTCATGGAATTCAGCTTTAATTATGCATTAAAGTATGAACAGCTGCACTAACTGGTGTCTTTTATATCAGATATAAACATCTATAGCTTTAAATCTGCATACCTGTTGCAATCCCTCCGTTCCATAGGCCGCCCTCATCTCTTCCAGTTCTCTGTTCAATTCCTCGATTTCTTGCTGCTTCCCGACCAGTTCATCCTCCATCACCTCGAGCCGCGAAAGGGTGCTCTGAGTGCCTCGGTCGCTGAACGTTTCCCGCACCTCGAACTCTTCCTCCTGAATCGATCCAATTTGGTTAGTGAAAGTGGCACATGTAAGTCTGCAAAGTCACGGCAGCTGCTGCTTTTCCAGCACTGTTAGCAAAGTTACCCACATTAAAATAGCCGGCAGCACTGAGCGAGCTTACTGCCATGGCAACCACCTTTGTTGTGGAGATAATTTGCGCCTCAAGAGCACTGACACATTTCCACCAAATTCTCTACGTGTGAAAAAAACTGACAAAGCAAAACGGCATCATTTTCCCTCATTATGCAACAGATACCAGCCATAGAGCTATAGGAAAGGTTAGAGCGTGCATGTAGCATGTGTTAGGCCAGAAAGTATGCAGCCAAAAAGAGTCGGCCTCATCGCCCTTTAACCCCTGCGATGCTGGAGCTCTAGAGAGTGTTAACTATGCCTGGTTAGTGATATAAAAAACACTTGTGACCGTATACTGTACCCATGGGGCGTGGGCTGTGCTGTTTGCTGTCAGCGGCAAATCGTCAACTACCTGTGATAAAAACAATAGCCAGAAGGATGGTGTATAAACATGACAAAAAAGACAGATCCAGCCAAATATCTGCTTTATCTCACTTACTGTAGGCATTCTAATAAACTTGCATTCAGTATAGAGTTCCCATACTCCAGCTAGAACAGTTCCTGTTCCAGAGATAGGACAGGAAGTCTGAATAAATCACTCCAAAGTAAGGGCAAATCTCCTCTTCAAGTGGAAGTGAATACTCACCTTAACGGTCCCTGGTCGTGTGCTGGTCTTCGAACATATTCATTGCACATGCACAGGGACCACTTATCCCAGCACACAGGGATCGTCCTGATTCTGTGCGATCAGCCGCACATGCGCAGCTCTAGTTACAGTGCCACAGAAGAAACAGTGAGTAGGCAGGTAGGGGCATTGTAGAAAAAAAAGAGATGGGCCAAAAAAAGTAGTTACTTATGGTGGCAGATATCAAGTGAGCTGGAACTACTAAAGAATCAATCCTTAATATCAATAAACCTGATGTTTTAAATTATTTGGCATTATTACTTTGTCTGAAAATGTAGTTCCGGTGCAGACTGAGACAACTTACATCGGGAGTTCACCAAGTAAAGTAGGGGCATTGCATTGCAAAAGAATTGCACCAGAATTAACTCCTGTACACGGGGCACTCCCTGGCTGGCTAATCACGACAGCAGAAGACCTGGTTCCTGGAAGAAGCCCAACAAAAGATGTTTGCAGGCAGTTTGCATCATTGGCATGACAAGAATATTCGATGGAGCAAGATGGAATTTCTTTTTCAAATGGTTTTCTAACAGTGTATGTGGTTTGCAGTCGGGAAATTAGATTCTTTCCAAAACGGAATGTTAAATCAAAAGAAATTTTTGAACATTCATCAAGCTGTCGAATGTACTACTAATGCAGGCCATAGATGGGTCGAAAATCGGCTGATTTTTTGGCCGAAAATAAAATCGGCCGATTTTCGGATCGTTAGTGGGCTAATTGTTCGGCCGTTTTGCGGTATTTTGGCAGATTTTTTTTATCGGTAAAGTTGGAAAAAGATCGGCCGATTTTCGCGGCAATTATGGGCAAATCGGCCGATCTTTTTACCGATAAAACAATCTGCGTATGAGCAGTGACCTGCAAGAGGAAGACAAAAAGAAGGAGAAAAAGAAGAGGATGAAGAGGAAGAAGAAGAGGATGAAGAGGAAGAAGAAGAGGATGAAGAGGATGAAGAGGAAGAAGTAGAGGATGAAGAGGAAGAAGAAGAGGATGAAGAAGAAGAAGAAGAGGATGAAGAAGAAGAAGAAGAGGATGAAGAAGAAGAAGAAGAGGATGAAGAAGAAGAAGAGGATGAAGATGAAGAAGAAGAGGATGAAGATGAAGAAGAAGAGGATGAAGAAGAAGAAGAGGATGAAGATGAAGAAGAAGAGGATGAAGAAGAAGAGGATGAAGATGAAGAAGAAGAGGATGAAGAAGAAGAGGATGAAGAAGAAGAAGATGAAGATGAAGAAGAAGATGAAGATGAAGAAGAAGAGGAAGAAGAAGAAGAAGAGGAAGAAGAAGAAGAAGAAGAGGATGAAGAAGAAGAGGATGAAGAAGAAGAGGATGATGATGAAGAAGAAGAATTCCAGTCCGGCAAAAAGTGTCCCTGCAGAGAGCTCCGCTATTTCTTTGACAGTTCCTTGACATTTATAGCGGTTGCAACATTGTATCTATTTGTTTCCGAATAAAAACATCTGTATCCTAAATGGATACAAATAGATACATTGTTGCAACCGCTATAAATGTCAAGGAACTGTCAAAGAAATAGCGGAGCTCTCTGCAGGGACACTTTTTGCGGCTGTAGACGGGATGAAAATTGGCCGATTTTTTTTTTACCGTTCCTGGTAACGTCAGCCGCTTGAACGACCGATTTTTCGTTCTTTTAAAGAAAAATCGTCCGTTTTTCTCCCCATCTATGGCCTGCATAAGAAGTTGTATACATTTTTGTTAAAAAAAAAATCTACTAGTGTATACACAGCTTTAAAGTCGTGGTCAAAATAACACCCTAAAGATGACCAAACACCGATTTGGGCACAATTTCCTGCACCGGTCACCCTAGCATCTCCCTTGTAAAAATGCGGACAGGATACTTTGTACCTGCAGATCTATTGCAGGCCATAGACGGTTCGTTTACCGGCCGATTTTTTTCCATTCGAAAGAATAATCGGCCGATTTTCCATTCGAAAGAATAATCGGCCGATTTTTCCATTCGAAAGAAAGAATAATCGGCCGATTTTCCATTCGAAAGAATAATCGGCCGATTTTCCATCCGAAAGAATAATCGGCCGATTTTCGCACTGTTAGTGGGGCAATGGCATTGGCTGATTTTCACGGTTCCTCCTCATTTCTTTTATCGGTCATGCTGGAAAATTTGTGAAAAATGGCCGATTTTCGCAATCATTGGTGGCAACAGAACGACCGATGTTTCGTTTTTTCGGACAAAAAAATCAGCCGATAAACGAACCGTCCCCCCTCCTCTCCCAATGCCCCGCCCACCATAACCCCCCCCGCACTGCACTCCCTCAGCCCTGTCACTACTGAGGAAGTCGCCAAAGTCCTCTCAAAAGCCCGCCTCACTACCTGCCCCCTGGACCCTATCCCCTCTCAACTCCTCCGGTCACCCCCCTCTTCCCTCATCCGCTCCCTCACCCACATCTTCAATCTCTCCCTCTCTACTGGCGTATTCCCCTCCCCCCTAAAGCACGCGCATATCACCCCCATCCTCAAAAAGCCCTCCCTGGATCCCGCGGACCCCAACAACCTCAGACCCATCTCCCTGCTGCCACTCACCTCCAAGCTCCTTGAACGCATAGTCTACGATCGCCTAAGCGCCCACCTTACAGACAATAACCTCCTTGACCCTCTACAGTCCGGCTTCCGTCCCCTACACTCCACTGAAACTGCCCTCCTCAAAATCACTAACGACCTACTCAACGCCAAAGCCAAGGGCGACTACTCTGTCCTCCTTCTCCTGGACCTCTCTGCGGCCTTCGACACAGTTGACCACCCCCTCCTCCTTAATAAACTACTCTCCCTTGGCATCGGAGATACTGCTCTCTCTTGGTTCTCATCCTACCTATCCCGACGCTCCTTCAGTGTCACCTACAATGGTGCCACCTCCCCCTCCCTCCCCCTCTCTGTTGGGGTCCCCCAAGGCTCTGTCCTTGGACCCCTTCTCTTCTCCATCTACACCTCCTCCCTGGGCAAACTCATACAATCTCAGGGCTTCAACTATCACCTCTATGCTGACGACACCCAAATCTACCTCTCCACCCCTCACCTCACCCCCACTATCTCCGCCCGCATCACTCACCTCCTAAATGACATCTCAGACTGGATGTCGCTACATTTCCTCAAGCTCAACCTCTCCAAAACCGAGCTCCTCATCTTTCCCCCTGCCAACACCCCCCCCCCCCCCATCTTATCCATCATCACCAACAACTCCACTATCACTCCCGCCCCGCAAGCCAAAGTCCTTGGCGTCATTCTTGACGCGAACCTCTCCCTCCAACCGCATGTCAAATCACTCACAAACACATGCAGGCTCCATCTTCGCAACATTGCCAAGATACGCTCCTTCCTCACCCCAGACACCACCAAACTTCTAGTACACTCCCTCATCATCTCACGCCTTGACTACTGCAACTCCCTCCTCACTGGCCTACCCAAGTGCAGGCTCTCCCCGCTCCAGACCATCCTCAACTCAGCTGCCAGACTCATCCACCTCACCACCCACTCCACCTCTGCCACCCCCCTCTGCCTCTCCCTCCACTGGCTCCCGATTGCCCAACGCATCAAATTTAAACTCCTAACCCTGACCTACAAAGCCGTTCACAACACTGCCCCTGACTACCTCACCAACCTGATCACCAAGTACCACCCTACCCGTACCCTTCGCTCCTCACAGGACCTCCTTCTATCCTGCTCCCTGGTCTCCTCCTCCCATGCACGACTGCAGGACTTCTCCAGGTCCTCCCCCATCCTCTGGAACTCACTGCCCCAATCCATCAGACTGTCGCCTTCCCTATTCACATTCAGGCGCTCCCTCAAAACCCATCTCTTCAGGGAAGCCTACCCCACCCTCACCTAACGGCCATCCTCCCTCATTCTTCCCACCACTTCATCCCCCTCAGCCACTTCCTACTGTACCTTTACCCCCTCCCTCCTAGATTGTAAACTCGTAAGAGTAGGGCCCTCTTACCCCTCGTACGTTGTTTGTTGTTGTACTGTGCCATGTATTGTCCCCCCTATTGTACAGCGCTGAGCAAACCCTTTGGCGCTATATAAACTCGTAGTAATAATAATAATAATAATAGTCTATGGCCTGCATAAGGAAAAAAAAAACAAAAACCGACAGAGGTCACTTGGCAGCATGATTTGCCTGATTTTACTGATGCTGACTGGGGGAAAGATATACAACAATATATACCTCTGATGATATTGGCTAGGGATAGATTTATTTAGCTGAAATTTCTCC